CATCATCAGAAACAATAAGTCTTTAAATAATCACAGTCTTAGACAAGATGCATTTGAACTAATCGCACGTAGCAAAGGACCAAAGCTTTAAATATAGGGCATCAAAGGAAGTGCCCATTTGAGAGATAAGCCCGATTGGTTAGTCCAATAAGATATCCAAGTACAAGAGATATTCAGTTTAGCCTTATAAATAATATAACATGAGGAAAGTACAGATTAAGGAGGAATATCAATCGCCTAAGGCTTAGGAATAGCCTTTATAACTCACATTCGCTAATTGCTTTCACTCACTTTTGACGAAACTGAAGTGAATGAGCCAGAACTGATATACAAGTACAGAACTTAGCAAAAAGTTGAAAGGTTTTCTATAAAAAAGAGTATTGTCCTTTTATGATAAAAAATAACACGTTGGGGTTTATATCAACTTTTTTCAAGTCATTAGAGTTGACAGAGACTACGACGGAAGGATTTGGTTCGATTTGACTTAATAAAAATGAGTGTAAATCTGCCCTTAACACAGTCTGAGCAATGGCTGAGCATCATGGATATGATTCGGAAGAAACGAATGACGCGAGAAGAGGAGCCTAGTACGTCATCATATGACTCGTGTAACATGCAAATGCATATTTGCAAACTTGTTTGCCTATTATTAATGATTTGAGGCCACAACTTGCTCAACCATAAGAATGGACAATTTATGTCTCAACTCCATCAAAAGAAAAGAAGCTACAGTGCCCTACCAGAGCAAGCTGAGGAGATTTCAAACAAGATGCCAAGTGTAATGCGGAAGCTTAGATAGTGTACTGTCTCCGTGAGGAGTGCCAATAGAAAAAATCAACCTTTCCTTACCTACAGCTTAATTTCAACTCAGGCCATTTATAGTTAAATACTTTGAGACATTGCTAAAACCAGAAATCAGCTGAAAAGAGACAAGGTCAAATTAGCATTTAATAATAGCACGTGGGCCGAAAATCCACCAGATGAAATGCAATTTGTGTGAAAAGATAAGAATTACAACTTACTGGAGCTTTGCAAAGGGGTGATGTGCCAGTCGACATGATTCATGATAGATAAGGACAGGAAATGTAATAAACTAGAAACGTTAGATAACCTGAGACTGATAATTGAATCTAACACAATTAAGTGAGTGGACCTCACGCTGCCAGTGGTTTACAGGGTCGACATCGCCCGGGCTTCATCAGCGCACCCAACGGAATTACAAGCCCAGTGATGCATGTAAGTTGGAGAAATTACCACCATTCTACAGCCAAGAGCTCATACTGGTCACAGAGGATATATGGCCTGTATAAACTCGATATGGGAGGCCCAGCTTCTACTGAAAGCCATATTTGGCCCGTGCATAACTGGCACCCGTGGTTGTGTAGTAATAATGGCGCCTAAATACGATCCGATATTAAATCCAGTATTGATGAGACCTAGGTGACGTCGAAACTGGTCCGCCCTGAACAAGAAAAATGAAAATGCATCTTAAGGTCTATCCATTTCAGTGTGGAAAATTCCAGTACCAGTAGTTGAATCACCTTAAGGGATCTAGGGCAACAAAAGTTGAGAGTAAAGCTTATCTGATGCCATTGAAACATACCATGATTAACGCGAAAGAGAAGAGGCAAAGACTTCTTACCAGCTCCAGCAGTGCCAGCTGAAATGGCATAATTAGATAGAGCAGGATAGCCAATATGCCGAGTCATAGAATAGGAGCAAGAAGAAGGTCCAGCCAGATTGGTTGAGGTGAATGAACTCCCATGCTGGCAGCCCGAAGTGAATGCCGAACCACAAACACCTGGAGTTGAGTTGGGACTCATCGGTGAGGGCGAGGGCGAGGGTGAATGGCTTGCAGATGCAATTGGGCGCTGAGGCTGATTAATATGTCCGAATGGAGCTGCGTATCCAGAACTTAGGGAGACATTTGACTGAGGATGCGAAGGAGAAATTCCACCACTACTCGATGGTATAATAGGTAGGTTGGTAGAAGTACAGCCACTGGAACAATTAGGTGTAAGCGAAGTTCCACCAATAGGTACGACTGAAGTAACTGGCAAGCAGACCAGCTGGCCGCACTCACGACAGACACGACTTGCAGAAGAACTTGGCTCATTGCTTAGAGGCACGGATGATCCAGTGCAAGCAGCCGAACGTGCAGCTGCGGCTGCGGCTACCGCGGCAGCATATGCATGTCCAGGACCATAAAAGGCAGGATTAAGCGATGTTTGTTGAGTGCAACCTGTCCCGGGCCCACACATACCAATAGGATTGAAGAAACCAGGAGGATAAGGTTGTGGATGAAAAGGTAGGTTAAAAGACGAGGAGCTATCCGAGGTAGTGCGAACACGAGTGGAGCCACTGAAACTGTGCCGACTCGCCTCGTTGAATTGCCTGTAAAATAACAAAGGAAATAATGCTAGTGGTCATGACCTTGAGTAGAAGCATGAATTTTGTGAATGAAAGTCTTTATAAATTGAGCGGAACTGCAAAAAAGACATTCAATAAGAAAAAAACGATAGATCCTTTTATTAATGTGACTTAAATGTGGTAGGCAAGATAAACAATAATCTAGTTACTCTAGGTAGCTTAATGAGATTTTAAGGGTAGATATTTAAGCTTTCTCCCAAAGAAGTTATGACCCAAAAAATGTTGGTGGATCGTGAGTTCTTCCTGATTAAACATTTACATAAGTTCAATGTCTGTTTTGGGTTTATTCGAGAGGTCCCAATCTGGCTGATATAAAGAGGGACTCAATAAGGTTAAAGGATTGATTTGATAGGTTCGGACAGGAGTCGATAAATGGTTCTCATATAAAGTGAGGGCATGAAAATAGCAACTAGCAGAAAATTGAAAAGGGTAGAGCTAAGTCGTTACGGTTTTGATAAATTTATAAGAGGGTATAAATTAATATCGAGCCTAAGTTCTGGAATAAAGCATACAAGATTGTCAAAAATTATATAGAACTGCACATTCGCTAAGGATAAGGGGAGAGTTATGAAAATAACAAAAATGCCAATGTTTATAATTTATTCAGCACAGTGATCAGTCGTATATTCAATAGTAAATCTAAGACTTTCTTAGAAAGTCCTATTGTGAGAGAAGTACGAAAATACCCCAATGAAATAAAACACATTAAAGGCATGCACACACTTGCCTTTCGTCTTCCATTTCTAAACTGGATTCACTCTCACTCAACTGCCTGGAGAGGGCTTCACGTCTTTGTATTTCCGATTGAAGTGCCTTACGGAGCCTACGATTTTCTTCCACTGCACTACGTTCTTCTCTGTCCAAACTAGCCAACTTGGTAGCCCGCTCTTCCTGGTGCCGATCAACAATTTTGCGAAGACGGAATACCTCGTTGCGAAGTTGTGCGACATATTCGGATACCTGATTGGAATCCATATTCGAAAGGTTTGCAGGTTGGTGGCTAAAGGTGGTTGAAGCCGATGAACTAGGCTGAATTGGTGCGGGGCCCACCGGGTTTGCGGATAAGTGTTTATTTCCAGAGCTGAATGAAACACTGGCTTCAGTATGACTCGAGTGATGAGGTTGAATAATCGCATTTGAGTGAGAGAATCCGTGGGGTGTAGAAGAAGAAGACATAGGTTGGCATATGGATGATGGTGGTATCAAAGAAATATTTGAGTATTGTGAATTGATGCCTGTATGTGAGGATCCACAGAGACCAGTGTCTAAAAACGAAAAAGTAAAAAACA